CTCGGACTTTCCTGTTCTGCGTCTGCACTCGGACAGAGGCGGAGAGTTCTCCTCTGGCCTTCTGCGAGCCTACTGTCGTGCACGAGGCATCCGTCAGACCTTCACGCTTCCGGACTCTCCGCAGCAAAATGGGATTGCAGAGCGCCGTATTGGCATGGTCATGGACGTCGCTCGTACGTCTATGATGCATGCGGCTGCCCCCCATTTTCTGTGGCCGTTTGCGGTCAGGTACGCGGCGCATCAGATCAACCTCCACCCCAGGGTCTCCAGGCCGGAGACCTCCCCAGCCCTGCTGTGGACGGGGAAGGTTGGGGATGCGTCGGCGTTCCGGGTCTGGGGATCTCGGGCGTTTGTCCGCGACTTGTCTGCGGACAAGCTGTCCCCTCGCGCTGCTCCCTGCGTCTTCCTGGGGTTCCCCCCCGACGCCCCTGGGTGGGAGTTCTACCACCCCACCTCTCGACGTGTTCTGTCCTCCCAGGACGTCACGTTCGACGAGTCGGTACCCTACTACCGCCTCTTCCCCTACCGCACTCCGTCCCTCCCCCCGCCCCCGCTCTTCTTGGTGCCAGGTCCCCCCCCGGTAGACCCCCTCCCCCCTCAGGGTCCTACCCCTTCAGGTGTGTCCCAGGTAGACGCGGTCGAGCCTGTCAAGGTCACTGGTGACTCTGTTGCTGCTGCGGGAGCTGAGCCTGGGGGTGCTGGGACTGGAGGTGCTACGCTTGGGGGTGCTGAGCCTGGGGGTGCGGAGTCTGGAGGTGCAGAGCCTGGGGGTGCTGAGCCTGGGGGTGCTGCGCCTAGGGGTACTGAGTCTGGGGGTGCTGAGCCTGGGGGTGCTGGGCCTGGGGGTGCTGAGCCTGGGGGTGCTGAGACTGGGGGTGCTCCTCCAGGAGGTGCTTTGCCTGAGGATGCTGAGCCTGGAGGTTCTTCGCCTGGAGGTTCTCCGCCTGGAGGTGCTTCGTCTCGCCGAGAGCCACTCTCCCCACAGGAGCTTCGTGAGTGGTTTGCCCGGCGCTGGAGGCGTGCTGCTGGTGCTGGAGGTTCTTCGGCTGCAGAGGGTGCTGCTGCCGCGAGTCCCGGAGGTGCTCGTGCTGTGGGTGCTGGAGCTGCTGGGCCTGAGGGTTCTCCTGGAGCTGGTGCTGCTGAGGGTGTTGGCGCTGGGACTACTGCTGGCGGTCCGACTGACAGTGCTCCTGGTGCTGCTGGGGGTTCTAGAGCTACTGGAGGTGCTGCTGGAGGTGCTGCTGGAGCGGGTACTCCTGCTGGGGGTACTGGTGCTGTCCCTGCTGTTTCTGGCGTCGCCACACGGCCCCGACCGTACTTCGTTCCGCTCCTGCAGCAGGTTCTTGGTCTTACCCCTTCTCCTGGTCCTCCTCCTCCTCCCTTAGAGGGTCCACAGCCTGTCCAGTCCCAGTCACAGCTACAGCCTGCCTCCCCTTTGCCTGCTCCTTCTCCCTACACTGGTCCGACTGGAGGTCTTACTGAGCGTCGTGAGCCTGCGTCTCGTCCTGCGTCGCCTGTTCGTCCTGCACGCACTAGTGGCCGCGGTTCGCGTCAGCGTCCTCCTCCTGTCCCTGGCACGCACCGGATGTCTCTGCGTCCGTCCAGTGCTCCTCTGCGTGCCCCTTTGCCTTCTCCTCCTGCTTCCTCTCTTCCTGCTCTTGCCGACCCGGAGTCGGACTCTCTTCGTGCTGCCAGTCCTACTGTCACGCGTCTCCTTGCTACTTCTGTCACTGACCCTTCTTTCGAGTCTTCTGCTGCGTCTGCCCTTGTCACTGAGCTCGTCGACTTTGCAGCGCGCTGTCGTCTCGACTACGCTGCTAGTCTTGTCGCTGAGTCTGAGTCTGCCTGTCCTCCGTCCGTCGGGGGTGAGTGTGCCCTTCGCACGGACGTTCTTGAGGACGGGCAGGAGGAGTTCCAGTGTCTGGCCGCCGCTTCACCTCATCTCGCGTCTGTACTTCTAGCCCCTGAGGGAGACCCGGATGCACTAGACATCCCGACTCCGCGCTCTTACGCGGAGGCGATAGAGGGTCCCTACTCCTCTCAGTGGCAGGAAGCTATGGATGCAGAGATGGCTTCCTGGAAGTCCACAGGCACCTACGTTGACGCTGTTCCCCCTCCTGGGGCGAACATAGTCAGTGGCATGTGGATTTTCAGGGTGAAGCGGCCGCCGGGTTCTCCGCCTGTCTTCAAGGCGCGTTACGTGGCTCGTGGCTTCAGTCAGCGGCAGGGAGTTGACTACTTTCAGACCTTCTCCCCCACCCCGAAGATGACCACTCTTCGGGTACTGCTGCACGTTGCTGCTCATCGTGACTACGAGCTGCACTCTCTCGACTTCAGCACTGCTTTCCTGCAGGGCAGCCTGCACGAGGAGATCTGGCTACGTCGCCCACCTGGCTTCACTGGGTCTTTCCCTCCTGGTACGTAGTGGAGTCTCCGGCGTCCAGTCTACGGTCTCCGCCAGGCGCCACGTGAGTGGCACGACACACTGAGGACTACTCTGGCGGCACTTGGGTTTGCTCCTTCTACTGCCGACCCGTCGCTGTTTCTGCGCACCGACACCTCTCTGCCGCCGTTCTACATCCTCGTGTACGTCGACGACTTGGTCTTTGCCACAGCTGACACTGCTGGACTCGCCTACGTGAAGTCTGAGCTGCAGAAGAGACACACGTGCACTGACCTGGGTGAACTGCGCAGCTACCTTGGCCTGTAGATCACCCGGGACAGAGCACGCCGCACCATTACCCTGACTCAGTCACACATGGTGCAGCAGGTCCTTCAGCGCTTCGGCTTCACGTACTCCTCGCCTCAGGCCACTCCTCTGCCTACTCGCCACTCGCTCTCAGCTCTGCCTTCGGATGAGTCCGTAGAGTCGAGTGGTCCGTATGCAGAGCTTGTTGGCTGCCTCATGTACCTGATGACCTGCACACGACCTGACCTTGCATATCCTCTTAGCATTCTCGCACGCTATGTTGCTCCTGGGAGACACCGACCAGAGCACATGGCTGCAGCGAAGAGGGTGTTGCGCTACTTGTGCAGTACGTCGGGCATGGGGCTAGTGCTTGGAGGGCGCAGTCCAGTGGTCCTCACTGGGCACGCGGACGCTTCTTGGGCTGAAGACCAGGCTACGCAGCGGTCGTCACAGGGTTACACCTTCAGCCTTGGTTTCGGCTCTGTTTCGTGGCGAGCTACCCGCTCGTCTTCTGTTCTCGGCTCCAGTTGTGAGGCTGAGATCTACGCCGGGGCTATGGCTGCTCAGGAGCTTTGCTGGCTCACCTACCTGCTGACCGACCTTGGAGAGCCGCCTCGTTCTCCTCGAGTGCTGTACGTAGACAACAAGGCCATGCTGGCCTTGTGTCGAGAGCAGCGACTGGAGCACAGGACAAAGCACATTGCTCTCCGCTACTTTCTTGCTCGTGAGCTGCAGCAGCGTGGACAGTTGCGACTTGCGTACGTGGCCTCTGAGGCCAACACTGCTGATGTCTTCACCAAGGCACTTGCGCCTTGTGATCATCAGCGTTGCTGCACGCAGCTGGGTCTTGTGCCTATCTTGCCTCACTTGCTCACTTCTTGACCTTGCTTGTACCTTGACCTATAGATACTCTTGTTCTTGCTTGCTTGACTCTTGTATATCTCTATATATGATCTTGCATGTGAACTGGCCTTGTGGCCCTTGAACTTGTGCTCGGAATGTGTGGTGACTTTGTGATCCACCCTGAGCTTTGCTTTGCTTTGCTTGACTGGTCTTGTGACCCCTTGTTCTCCCCCACTTTGCCTATGGGGGTGTGTCAGAACATATAGCTTACTTATTTGTGTAGGCTATAGTGGGGTATCCCATAGGGGGTACAACCCAATTAGGGTTTCCTATTTGTACTCACTTCGTTCATAGTTATTCCATTCTCGTTCAATTCTTCTCACAGGAGGAAGAGGAGGCGTAGGAGGAGCAGGCGGTGCAGGTGGCGCAGGAGGCCGTAGTGGCTCTGGTGGCTCTGGTGGGACACGGCTATACCAGCCTACCGGTAGGCTTCTTCTTGAACAGAAAGTGCGCGCCTGAGAATTCCGCCATGGCTTCCGCAACCAGGCGGGCGAGAAAAAGAAACTGATGCAAAAAGTGCAAGACAGAGTGAAGAAATAATGTTTGGAGGGGACCCCTTCGGGTTAGCGGCTCGGGGTCCTCCTCAATGAGAGACGGGTACCCCCTTGCCTGAACCCGCAAAGGAGGGTTCGCGACACCGGCCATGCTGCTATGGCAGGGGAGATTCGACACCCTTCTAGAGGGTTCGGCCAAGATTCTCCTGCTTAGCAACGCATGACGATGTGATTGGGCCGCACGGCAGGTTTCAAGTCAGCTCTGTAGGTGCGTTGCATCGGGACGGTTTTTGTGCGGTGGGAAATCAAAGCGCGGTTATTCTCGCTTGCATTCCATGCACGATCCCACGTGTGAACGTTTCGCATGCGTGTTTGCCTTATTGAGGGCTTCAATTTGGTACCTTTAAAAGCAAATTTCATTTTTTCGTTATATAGGCGCATGCGCTTATGCCCTGTACTCAATTACCAGCGCCCCCCTTAAAAAAAATCACTTTTATCATAAGCGCATATGCGCTACTATCAGGGGCTATACAGTATATCCATTCAGCCTCCATTGACTTACCGTATTACAGCCTTTATCTACCGATCCCGGCTGCTGCTGCTGACTCTCTTGGTTCAAGTAGTGGCGGTTGTATTGGTAATGCTGCTGAGGCTACTGTTGTTGATGACGTATTGTCGCTGCTGCAGAGAACGCTGCAGCATGTGACAGTGGTGCGAGGGAGATGGGGGTGGGGGGTGTATACCCAATATAACTATGCAAGGTACTTTGCACAGAAGATCGATGTATCTATATGGACTACGTAAATGGAATGGTCCACTTACAGAATTTAAAGAATAGAGTGTGCTATAAAGGAATGTGAAACCAGTGCCCCCCTTATAAGACCAACCACTAATTACTCCATGCAAACAACACCTCAGTTGAGTGACACCAACTTCCTGGCAGCTTCTGCTATCTCTGCATCTGTTCCGGCACCGCCCTTCACGAGGCTCTCCAGGCGCTCCCAGGCAAACCGCGCCTTGAGGTCCCTGGAGGGGAGGAAAGGGAGGAGTGGGGTTCACAGGCAATGGGAGGCCATGTGGAGAATGGGAGGCCATGTGGGCAATGATGTGATCAGGCCTCCAAATTGGTGATGGAGCAGGCTGGAAATCGGACTGTCAGGCAACTCTACACTGTAAACAAAACTCTGATCCACCAGTAAGAAGCCTGGAAAAGGCATGAATGGGCTTATAAAGGCAGCAATGTGAAAGCTTCCAGCAGATTGGTGGCATGAGAAGGGCCTGTGCGGAGTCCACTGGTGACTCAGGCAGTTGAGCGACTGGCAGTGCAGTGAGGGTGACTGGGGTACCTGGCTGACTGGCGCAGGGCGGGGTGGTAGTGCTCCCCGTTGATGATGTCCGCTATGCTCACCCACCTGGTGCATAAGAGGGGGGTGCGGTGCAGACAGGAGATGCAAAGGAGTGAGTCACTTTGAATGAGGGGCGATGAGGCACGGAGGGATGGTAGTGCTCTCTGTCGACGATGTCGTATATGCTCACCCACCTGGTGCATGGGAGGAGGAATGGGTGAAAGAGAGAGCGGAGATGCAAAGTGCAGAGTCTGTGCGGGATGGTAGTGCTTCCCTTGATGATGTATGCTATGCCCACTCATGTATGAACCGGAGGAGGGAGGGGTGCTTGGAAAGGAGGGACGGGAGATGGTTAAGAGATGAAGACGGCAGTGTCTGACTGGTTTAAGAAAAGGATGGATGGAACAAGCCAAGACAAAGCAAACGTGACACGGACAGGCAGGCAGTGGATTCAATGTAGCACCAGGTGAACTGGCATAAATAAATTGATGGAACCACTTTCAATCCATAAGCTCACTCTTCACGTGTATACACTGCATTCAATCAAGTCAACTATGCAACTCACTTGGAAAGGATGGACGGAACAAGCCAAGACAAAGCAAAAGTGACTCACTTAGAGTCGCTGTACACTTCCTCATCCACCTTGATTGCTGCTGCCTGCTCAGCCCCAATAGCCACCGTGAACACCCCGCTGATGTCGCACGTCCCGTTCTCCACGAAAGTTGCCTGGACGCCTTTTAGGCGAAAGTTGCCTGGACGCCTTTTAGGCGAAAGTTGCCTGGACGCCTTTTAGGCGAAAGTTGCCTGGACGCCTTTTGGGCGCCTCAAAAGTACTCACTTAAAATCGCTGTATTCTTCCTCGTCCACTTTGATCACCGCAGCCTGGTCGGCCCTAATGGCTACGGTGAACACCCCGCTGATGGCGCACGTCCCCTTCTCCACAGGCGCCTGCATGCTTTTTGAGGACCCTGCACACCTTATAGCAACCATTTTGGTGCCTTTTAGGCACCTCAAAAGAACTCACTTGGAATCACTGTACTCCTCCTCGTCCAGTTTGATAGCAGCTGCCTGGTCGGCCCCAATGGCAACAGTGAACACGCCGCTGATGTCGCACGTCCCGTTCTCCACAGGCGCCTGCACGCGGCGATACCACCAGTACGAGTGCACGCTCAGGAACCGCACTGCACCGGGCTCCACCGTGACGCCCAGCTCTCTGCTCAGCAGGCGCACCACGCTGTCCTCTGGCTTCTCCCCCGGCCGCATGCGCCCCCCCATGAACCTGCGAGGGAGGAGAGTAGTGTGGGAGGAGAAAAGGTGTTTTCGCAAGTGGTGGGAGAAAAGGGAGGAACAAGGGTTGGGACTGGCAACAGAGCAGCGCACGCCTCCCCCGGCCGCATGCGGCCCCCCATGAACCTGGCGAGGGGGATAGAGGAACAGGTGTCTAGGCAGGCAGCAGCAGCACGATTGCTCTGAAGTCTAGGCTGGTCCGGTCCCATGCGACCCCGTGTGCCCCTGGTGGACAGCGGACAGCACAGTGCGTGTCATGTGGTTGACGCTCTGAGACGGCTGGCGGGACGGATTGGGAAGTTGTGGGTGGAGGGTGGGGCAGCAGCAGGGCACGTGGGGTTGTGAGAAACGGAGGGCGGAAGAGGCAGGAGTAGCCGGGTGGACACAGGTGGTGAAGCGCGAGAGGGGTTGGGATGGGTGCAGAGGGTACCAAGCAAGCGCACATGAGTGCCGTGGCAGAGAGTGGGCAATGGAATCGATGGGATGAATGAGTTTCGGCCGTTCTTTGAGTTGAGTTGAGTTGAGTTGAGGCACCTCAGAGCTTCAATCAGAACAAGGCATGCTTCAATCAGAACAAGGCATGCTTCAATCAGAACAAGGCATGCTTCAATCAGAACAAGGCATGCTTAAATCAGAACAAGGCATGCTTCAATCAGAACAAGGCATGCTTCAATCAGAACAAGGCATGCTTCAATCAGAACAAGGCATACTTCAATCAGAACAAGGCATGCTTCAATCAGAACAAGGCATGCTTCAATCAGAACAAGGCATGCTTCAATCAGAACAAGGCATGCTTCAATCAGAACAAGGCATGCTTCAATCAGAACAAGGCATGCTTCAATCAGAACAAGGCATGCTTCAACTGGCCCATCGCCCCACCACCGACTGCATCACCCGCAGTCAGCCACACCACACCCCTGGGTTCACCACCAACCGAACCCACTCAACCGCACTGGACCGCACCCCACTGCTCACCACCAGTCGGGCTGCGGCTCCACCTTGCGCTTCCCCAGCAGTATTTTGCAGTTCTCGGAGCTGTCTGTATTGAGGATGAAGAAGTCCGCGCACGCCTTGACGAGGCAGTCCAGCGCGCGCCCGTACTCCGAGTCCGCCAGGAACACCCCCGGCGATTTGTAAATACCCGTTTCAAAGTGGGGTATGGTGCGCTTGTACCCCGCCATTTTGGGGGGTGAGTGTGCGGCTGGTGCGGGGGAGGCGGGGAGGGACGGAGAGAGGGGCGTAGAGGGGCGGAGAGGGATGGGAGGAGAAAGGAGAGCGCAACCTCACCAACTAGACCAGCGCCCTGCCTTGTCGTGATCTGCGTGGAGCATTGGTGGCGATCGATCGTCAGTGCGGCGTGGCGCTCATGGGAAGAGGCGTAACGAGGGGCAACGTGGGCCAGTGAGGCGCAGCGAGGTGCAACGAGGGGCAGCAGCGGCAGGGAGAGATGCAGGAGGCGAGCCGGCGGGGAGAGATGCAGGAGGCGAGCCGGCGGGGAGAGATGCAGGAGGCGAGCCGGCGGGGAGAGATGCAGGAGGCGAGCCGGCGGGGAGAGATGCAGGAGGCGAGCCGGCGGGGAGAGATGCAGGAGGCGAGCCGGCGGGGAGAGATGCAGGAGGCGAGCCGGCGGGGAGAGATGCAGGAGGCGAGCCGGCAGGGAGAGATGCAGGAGGCGAGCCGGCGGGGAGGGGCGCCGGGCGGGGAACAGCGAGCGCGCAGCAGCGTAACAAGCAGAACGAAGAATTACCAGCAGAATAAGTTATTTCGGGACTAGAATGTGCGTAAAAGTGCGCGAGTAGCCAAAAGTGGTGTTGTTGAGATCGCTTCAGCCGTGAGTATCACCTGCGTGGGAGGAAAGGAACTGGCTTGCTCTCAACTCAACATCTGATCATACTACCCGATTTGGTGAGCTTGGAAACTCGTTTGTGTGCGGCTATCCTCGTTAGCGTGCTGCTAACAAAATTGCGTAATTATATACGCTCTCAGCGAAGCAACTTTTGCGCAGCTCCCCAGCTACACAATAAATAACGAACTTGAACGAAAATAAATGGTAAGAAACAAATGATTGTCTTCTGCAAGGCTGATCCACCAATAAGAGGGCCAGAACATCACGTGTGCTGCGGCATGTCAACTCAATCCGCATACAACAATCCTATCAGACTCAATACCGCTCATCACCACCACCATCCACATCATCCTCGTCATAAAACCCTTCCTCCTCAAATTCCTCCTCCTGGTAGTCCCCCTCATCCTCCACATACCCCCCAGCAGCACCCATTCCTGACCCTCCACCTCCTCCACCTCCCCATTCCCCTCCCCCCTTGTCATGCCCTGCCCCTCTCCCACCTCCACCCATCACCTCCCTCTTCCCTCTCCCTCCTCTCCCACCCCCGCCTCGCCCCCCCTTCTCTCCCCCTCCCCATCTCCCTCTTCCCCTGCCCCTGCCACGGCCCCTTCCCCCCGCTCTACCCTTAGCTTCCAAGGAAGGCGCAGCGGAGGAGGAGAGAGAATGAGGCCGGCGTTGCCCCAACGGCACATCCTCCATATAAGCATCCTCGTCTTCCTCAACATCTTCCTCCCTTCCATAATCACTATACTCCTCGTTATAGTCACCCCTGGAATAGTCATCATTCCCATCCTCATCCTCATACCCCTCCTCATTCACACTCTCCCCATACCCACCCCTCGCACTCCCTGCACCATCAAACTCCTCCTCCTCACCATACCCTGACACACCCGTGCCACCTCTCCCACCACCTCTCTCTCCACTCCCCACTCCCCTCCCCACTCCCCTCCCCACGCCTCTCCCTCGTCGTCTACCCCTTCCCCTGTCCCGCCCCACACTTCCCCCGTCCCCTCCACCAGCACCGCCATGAGCAGCAGCGGGTGGGTCATCAGCGAGCGCCACGCCGTGGAAGTGTTTGAGGTGCAACCGCAGCTTGTAGTCGTGGAAGTACCGCTTGCTGCACCCCGCCTCCCCGCACGCAAACACGCGCTCCGACTCCTCCAGCTTGCGCCGCCGCCGCCGCCTCTTCGGCCGCACCTCCTCCTGCTCCTCCTGCCCTCCCGGGCCCTTCTTCACCCCTGCACCCTTTCCTCCCTTCCCTCCCTCCACTCCTCCCCCTCCCTCTCCCTCCTCGCCTCCCAATTCCTCCCGCCACGCCTCCTCCCCTCCCTCATCCTCCTCCTCTTCTCCACCATACCCCTCCATGCCCCCCCCCTCCCCCATCGAATCCCCACCCCCCATGTCCTCCCCGAACCCATCACTCTCAGCACCAGCATCCAGCGCATCACTGCCCATGCCCCCATCATCCGCCCCCCCCTCCTCACTCCCCATTTCATCATACAGCGCGCCCTCCCCTTCCTCCTCCCCTTCCCCCTCGCCTAAGTCACTCGCCCCAGTAACCTCCTCCCCCTCATTATAATCACCCTGCTCACTCTCCCTCTCCATGCCTTCCCCATCCTCCTCTGCTCCAAGCTCACCCCCATAACCACCCGCACCCCCACCATACCCGCCAGTGCCACGGGCATTCTCAGCATCACTCCATTCCCTTGTTGACCCACCTACCCCTCTCCCCCTCCCTCTCCCTCTCCCTCTCCCTCTGCCCCTCCCCACTCCCCTGCCTCTGCCTCTCCCCCTTCCCCTTCCTCTCCCTCTATAGCTCTCCGCCACGTCCCCCTCTCCTGCCTCCCCTCCTGCCTCCTCCCCTCTCCGCCCTCTCCCCCTCCCCCTTCCACGACCCCTGCCCCGCCCCCTCCCCCTCCCGCTGCCCTTACCCCAGGGTTCCCTCACCCCGCCTCCCTCTCCTGACTCTGAAATGGAATTCAGGAATCGCCCTCGCTTTGTTTCCATTCCTTTTTGCGATCCATCAGCCACACTCCCCCTCTCCTCCCCATCCTCACTCTCCTCCTCCCCCTCCCCATCCCCACCCTCGTCGCCCTCCCCATCCCCCTCTGCCCCTTTCCCAAACCCCCTTCTCTCACCCTCAGTTCCCTCCTCCCCCCCTTGAACCCAACTCTCTGACCCCCTCCCTTTCTCACTCCCTTTCTCCCTCCCCTCCTCACTCCCCCCCTCACTCTCCTCCTCTGCCTCATCTCGCCTCCGTTTCCCTCCCCGTTCCACTTCTCCCCTTTCCTCCTCTCCTCCCCTCTCACTCCCCTCTCCTGCCGCCCCCTCCTCCTCTCGCTTCCTCCTCCCTCGCCCACCCTTCTCCTTGCTCCCCGCACCACCTCCCTCACTCTTTCTCCCTTGCCCATCGCCCTCCTTCCGCCCCTCCCTCTCCGACCTCCCCGCACCTTCGTCTTGCGACCCATCTGATCCCTCGCGCGCTGCAGATCGCTGCTGGGGCATACACAGGAGAAGAGGCGTAAAGGGAGAGGAGGGCGGAGGGGGAAGGGGGGAGGGGAGGGGGGGTGGAATAAGGTACAAACCATCCAATGTCCCGCGCGCTGCAGATCGCTGCTGGACCATGCACAGGGGAAGAGGAGGGGGGCCAGGGGAGAGGACGAGAGGGGAGGCGGAATGAGGAGAGGGGCAGGGAGGAAGGAAGCAAGGGAAGGAAGATGAGAGCGCATGGGAGGGGTGAGCGACGTGTCACGTGTCACTCCTTGCTGCTGGGAGGAGGAGCAGCTAAGAGCACTCGTGGAAGTGGGACAGACTAGGAGGGAACGGGAAGGAGCTTTTGGAGGTACTTGCGACGGCGCATGTGGAAGAAGCAGGGCGGCGCATGTGGAAGAAGCAGGGCGGCGCATGTGGAAGAAGCAGGGCGGCACATGTGGAAGAAGCAGGGCGGCGCATGTGGAAGAAGCAGGGCGGCGCATGTGGAAGAAGCAGGGCGGCGCATGTGGAAGAAGCAGGGCGGCGCATGTGGAAGAAAAAAAACTGAAAAACAGTCTAACAAAAGAAGGTGCCTACCTGCTGCTGCTGTTAATCACCATGTACCAACGCGAGATGCATGCGCAGCAGCATGCTTTCGTGCCTCCGTCTGTTGGGACTCACTATAGGTGCCTCAGGTGTGTTATGACTCGTTGTAAGCATACCTGCTGCTGCATGCTCTTGTTATTGCCGTGTGCCGACGCCAGGTGCATGCGCAGCTTGCTCTCGTGCCTCCGCTGTTGTGACTCGTTATTAGAATCTCAAGTGTTGTGACTCGTTATAAGCATACCTGCTGCTGTTTATCCCCATGTGCTGACGCCAGGTGCATGCGCAGCTTGTTCTCATGTGCAAAGCGCTTGCCACACTCTAGGATCGGGCACGTGTGGTAGTTCTCCCCCGTGTGCGTGCGCATGTGAGAACGGCGGTTGAAATCCAGCGAGAATGCCTGTTGTGTATGTGTGTATGCATATGGTGGGTCCAAGAGGGGGAGCAGAGGTTAAGACGCAGGGGAGGATGGGGCACGTGTGGTTGTTCTCCTTGGTGTGTGGCATGTGTGGCATGCATCTGGCAATGCAAAGGCGGATGAGTCGCAGTTGAGAATGAGACGGGTGAGGGGGCTCCAACCACCCCTCCTCTCCCTGGGTTTAGGGTTGTGCATGTGTGTGCATGTGTGTGCATGTGTGTGCATGTGCAAACAGCTGTTGAAGTCCAACAGGATCGATTCTTTAGGCGCCTTTCAAGGCGCCTCAAAAATGGCCCAACTGGAGCGCGTGCTCGGCCATGCATGTGCTCGGCCATGCATGTGCGCTGCGCAGCAAAGGGAAATGGTTGGCAGAGGTGAGCAGGCAGAGGGGGAGATGTGAGAGGGGGAGATGTGAGAGACCGGGTAGGGGGGAGCAGAGGGAAAGAAATTAGAATGCAAGGGGGAAAGGGGGCTGGTTAGAGAGCAAGTGGGACAGGGGGGAAGTTCGGGAGCAAGGGCGTTAAGGGGGGCGGTTAGGGAGCAAGGGGGAAAGGGGGGCGGTTAGGGAGCAAGGAGGGAGCCCGAAATCGCATTCCCCAGACTTACCCTGCGAAGGAAAACACAACTTGCCGCATCCCTCATCACCTTGCCGCACCCCTCATCACCTTGCTGCACCCCTCATCACCTTGCTGCACCCCTCATCACCTTGCCGCACCCCTCATAGGGGCAGAAGAAGCGCTTCTCGCCCGTGTGGATGAGGAAGTGGCGCTTCAGCTTGCTGCTGTCCACAAACCGCTGCCAGTGGGTGGGCAACAACAGACGAAGAGAGGGCAACAAGAGAGGAAGAGAGGGCAACAAGAGAGGAAGAGAGGGCAGCAAGAGAGGAAGAGAGGGCAACAAGAGAGGAAGAGAGGGCAACAAGAGAGGAAGATAGGGCAACAAGAGAGGAAGAGACGGCAACAGGAGAGGAAGAGAGGGCAACAAGAGAGGAAGAGAGGGCAACAAGAGAGGAAGAGAGGGCAACAAGAGAGGAAGAGAGGGCAACAAGAGAGAAAGAGAGGGCAACAAGAGAGGAAGAGAGGGCAACAAGAGAGGAAGAGAGGGCAACAAGAGAGGAAGAGAGGGCAACAAGAGAGGAAGAGAGGGCAACAAGAGAGGAAGAGAGGGCAACAAGAGAGAAAGAGAGGGCAACAAGAGAGGAAGAGAGGGCAACAAGAGAGGAAGAGAGGGCAACAAGAGAGGAAGAGAGGGCAACAAGAGAGGAAGAGAGGGCAACAAGAGAGGAAGAGAGGGCAACAAGAGAGGAAGAGAGGGCAACAAGAGAGGAAGAGAGGGCAACAAGAGAGGAAGAGAGGGCAACAAGAGAGGAAGAGAGGGCAACAAGAGAGGAAGAGAGGGCAACAAGAGAGGAAGAGAGGGCAACAAGAGAGGAAGAGAGGGCAACAAGAGAGGAAGAGAGGGCAACAAGAGAGGAAGAGAGGGCAACAAGAGAGAAAGAGAGGGCAACAAGAGAGGAAGAGAGGGCAACAAGAGAGGAAGAGAGGGCAACAAGAGAGGAAGAGAGGGCAACAAGAGAGGAAGAGAGGGCAACAAGAGAAAGAGAGGGCAACAAGAGAGGAAGAGAGGGCAACAAGAGAGGAAGAGAGGGCAACAAGAGAGGAAGAGAGGGCAACAAGAGAGGAAGAGAGGGCAACAAGAGAGGAAGAGAGGGCAACAAGAGAGGAAGAGAGGGCAACAAGAGAGGAAGAGAGGGCAACAAGAGAGGAAGAGAGGGCAACAAGAGAGGAAGAGAGGGCAACAAGAGAGGAAGAGAGGGCAACAAGAGAGGAAGAGAGGGCAACAAGAGAGGAAGAGAGAAAAACAAGAGAGGAAGAGAGGGCAACAAGAGAGGAAGAGAGGGCAACAAGAGAGGAAGAGAGGGCAACAAGAGAGGAAGAGAGGGCAACAAGAGAGGAAGAGAGAAAAACAAGAGAGGAAGAGAGAAAAACAAGAGAGGAAGAGAGGGCAACAAGAGAGGAAGAGAGGGCAACAAGAGAGGAAGAGAGGGCAACAAGAGAGGAAGAGAGGGCAACAAGAGAGGAAGAGAGGGCAACAAGAGAGGAAGAGAGGGCAACAAGAGAGGAAGAGAGGGCAACAAGAGAGGAAGAGAGAAAAACAAGAGAGGAAGAGAGGGCAACAAGAGAGGAAGAGAGAAAAACAAGAGAGGAAGAGAGGGCAACAAGAGAGGAAGAGAGGGCAACAAGAGAGGAAGAGAGGGCAACAAGAGAGGAAGAGAGGGCAACAAGAGAGGAAGAGAGGGCAACAAGAGAGGAAGAGAGGGCAACAAGAGAGGAAGAGAGAAAAACAAGAGAGGAAGAGAGGGCAACAAGAGAGGAAGAGAGAAAAACAAGAGAGGAAGAGAGGGCAACAAGAGAGGAAGAGAGAAAAACAAGAGAGGAAGAGAGGGCAACAAGAGAGGAAGAGAGGGCAACAAGAGAGGAAGAGAGGGCAACAAGAGAGGAAGAGAGGGCAACAAGAGAGGAAGAGAGGGCAACAAGAGAGGAAGAGAGGGCAACAAGAGAGGAAGAGAGGGCAACAAGAGAGGAAGAGAGAAAAACAAGAGAGGAAGAGAGGGCAACAAGAGAGGAAGAGAGAAAAACAAGAGAGGAAGAGAGATCGGCCATCAGGCTGTGGATCGGCCATCAGGCTGTGGATCGGCCATCAGGCTGTGGATCGGCCATCAGGCTGTGGATCGGCCATCAGGCTGTGGATCGGCCATCAGGCTGTGGATCGGCCATCAGGCTGTGGATCGGCCATCAGGCTGTGGATCGGCCATCAGGCTGTGGATCGGCCATCAGGCTGTGGATCGGCCATCAGGCTGTGGATCGGCCATCAGGCTGTGGATCGGCCATCAGGCTGTGGATCGGCCATCAGGCTGTGGATCGGCCATCAGGCTGTGGATCGGCCATCAGGCTGTGGATCGGCCATCAGGCTGTGGATCGGCCATCAGGCTGTGGATCGGCCATCAGGCTGTGGATCGGCCATCAGGCTGTGGATCGGCCATCAGGCTGTGGATCGGCCATCAGGCTGTGGATCGGCCATCAGGCTGTGGAGAGGCCATCTGGTTTGAAGAGGGGGGGGGATGTAACATGTCGACCGCTAGCCATCAACGCGTGACATGAAATAGTGTGAACACAAGGCCGGCCATGTGAAACCTCCACGTGGCTGGCTCGTGAAACCTGCAGCGAGGTGATTAGAACATGCTTGAACCTGGCCAGTCGATTGATGCCTTATGTGAGTGTAAACGTGGCAAATGATCGACATATTTGCAAGGAACGTCTGGCGGAAACCAGATTTGCCTCTCTTTAACGGTGACCTCTCACCTTGCCACACCCTCACCTTGCCACACCCCTCGTAGTGACACATGAACTGCCTCTCCCCATGCACGTTCGAGTGCTTCCTCAACCCCCCCGCATCCAGAAACGCCTTTCCGCACCCATCCACACCGCACACAAACGGACCTCCACCCAATGGCCCGCCAACCCCAGCAGCAGCAGCAGCAGCAGCAGCAGCAGTAGCAGCAGCAGCAGCAGCGCCAGCAGCACTGCCAGAAGCAGAGAGACCAAAGCCCAGGCCTGTTCCTATGCTGCTACCACCCCCGCTTGCTGCTGTCACCTGCTCCTCCCCCGCTGCCGCCCCTGCTGCACCTGCAGCACCACTCTGCATGCCACCTGCACCGCTTTGCATGCAGCCCAACCCACTTGCACTGGGCATGGGAATGGCGCTTGAGCTTGCAGCACCTGCTGCAGCTGGGGAGCCTGCAGGGGCCATTCCCGCTGCTGCGGCTGCGCCCATTCCACCCCACGCCCCCCCTCCTCCCCTCCCTGCCTCCCCTACCACTGCTCCCCCTCCGCTCATCTGCATGCCCACACCCCCCCCTCCGTCTGCCCCTCCCCCTGCACCTCCCCCGCCCCCTGGGTATGTGCCCGCACCACCCGCCATACTGCCATGAGCAGCAGCGGGCAGCTGCAGCATGGCCAGCCCCTGCATCGACCCCCCTGCTGCTGCATGTGCGTGCGCCCCAGGCATACTCCCTTGCCCTTGCCCTTGCACCCCCGCCTGCATGCCCCCGGGCATGACAGCAGCAGGGGAACCACCTACGCCAGCGCCAGGGAAAGGCAGTGCGCCGCCGCCACTCCCCTGCGCCATTGCCCCCTGATTCTGCATTCCCTGTCCCAGCCCCAGCCCTAGCCCTAGCCCCTGCCCCAACCCTAAACCTTGCCCCGGCCCCAGTGGGATAGCGGGAGAGTGCGAGCGGGCGTCATGAGGCGGCCCTGATTGGCCTCCACTTGCCCCACCTGCTGCCCCGCCGCCCGCCATTCCTGACGGGCCGCCTGCTGGCATGCCGCCACGGGCGGCAAGGGCGGCAGCAGAAGGTGAGAGGTGGGCGGCGGAGGGCAGGGAGAGGCGGAAGATGGTCGGCCCGCCGCCCGACAGGGAGGTGGGGGCGGCGACAGGGGCGAGAGGAGAGGGCGTTCTCAACGCTGCTCCTGCTGCTGCTGCTGCTCCTGCTGGCGTTGCTGGTGGTGGAGTTGCTGCAAGGGGAGAGCCCCACAGAGTGGGGTCCGCTCCTCCCCCTTGCCCGCCCTGCCCTCCCTGCCATTGCCCTGCCTGCCCCTGCATGGCCCCACCAGGACCAGGGGGCATTTGCTGCTGCTGCTGACCCCCCATCTGCCCCGGCTGCTGCAGCTGCCGCTGCAGCTGCATTTGCATCTGTCCCATTTGCTGGACCTGCCCAGCCTGCCCGTTCACCTGCCCGTAGCCAAAAGTGGGCATCTGCTGAGAGTAGGAGCCCCCATAGGACGAGGGGGCGTTGGAAAGGTTGGGCATGGGCGGCACATGGGACATGCTGGGCATGTTGGGCAGGTTGGGCAGATTTGGAATGTTTGCCATATTTGGCATGTTTGCCATTTGGGGAAGGTTCAGATTGGGCATGTGGGGGAGGTTTGGCATGTGGGTGACCTGAGGCATGTTAGAGAGGCGAGGGGGAGGCGGGTAGTAACCAGGGGAGGCGTTATTTCCCATATAGCCCATACCCATGCCCATACCAGCCCCACCAGAGGCACCAGCAGCGCCACTCGCACCCTGCCACGTGGCACCACGAGGGGTAGCGTTGGCAGGCGATTGGGGGAAGCCGGGGAAGGGGCCTGGCGCGCGGGAGGATGAGGCGGAGGGGGGGGGAGGGGTGGCGGAGGAAGCAGGGGGGAAAGGGGGCGGGGGGAAGGGGCGCAGGTGCGGCATGTGCAGCTGGAAGGGCGAGGCGGACCTGGGCGCGCTGGCAGGAGGGGGGTCCGGCGCCTCTGGGGGAAGGGAAAGACGCGGAAGGGTAGGGGGGAGAGGGGGGAGAAGGGGAGAAAGGGGAGGGGGAAAGGGCAGCACATGGGGCGGGAAGGGAAAGAAGGATTGAGGCATGGAGAGGCAGTTGCTCGCATCTTAACAGCACCGTAAGGGCAAGAAGAGGAGCAGGTGACGGGTGGAGCAGGGGTATGGCTGGCAGGTAGTGGTACTATCACTGTGCGCGGGTAGGTTGTACACTGTGTGTGTGAATGCGGTTGACTCACGTTTGACCCGCTTGACTCACGTTCCGCTTGACTCACGTTTGACCCGTTTGACTCAATTTTGACCCGTTTGACTCACGTTTGACCCATTTAAGTACTTTGCACTTGCCGTTGTTGAGAACCGTCTCCTGCACCACCCTGTAACGCGTATGGAGGGAGCCATAGCGCGCCGAGCACACGAAAGCTTATCAGCTTAAA